ATCTTGTGTATTGTATAAATTGGCCCCCAGCAGCACCCCATTTATGCATGTTCAGGTGAGTGCAGCCCCCTGGTTTCATATATATATATGAACTAAGTTCCATCTATCAATATAAGACACTACCTTGACCCTCTCAAGCAATCAATGTTAATATCTGAGTGTTATCATTGTTCATCTTATTTTTCTTTAATTTGTCTCACTTGCATGTCTGATTTGTTCTGTGCAGGGTGCTATCGGGTCCAGTGGTAAATTTTTCAACTTTACTATTTAGCTTGTCACAGTGAAGATAGCCAACATATGTACTGAGTTCTTCTTCTTGTGCCATTTTTAATTACAAATGTGCAGAATAAAGGACCACTATAGGCACCCAGACCACTTCGGCTTAATGAAGTGGTCTGGGTGCCAGGTCTATCTAGGATTAAACCTGCTTGCTGTAAACATAGCAGTTTCAGAGAAACTGCTATGTTTACAAATGGGTTAATCCAGCCTCTAGCGGCTGTCTCACTGACAGCCGCTAGAGGCACTTCCGCGCTTCTCACCGCGATTTTCACAGTGAGAAGATGCCAGCGTCCATAGGAAAGCATTGAGAATGTTTTCCTATGAGACTGGCTGAATGCGTGCGAGGCTCTTTCTGCGCATTCGCATTCAGACGATGACGGCAGAAGAGGAGGAGATTCCCCCGTGCCGAGGGAGCCCGGCGCTGGAGAAAGGTAGGAATTTAACCCCTTCCTCACCCTAGAGCCCAGTGGGAGGGGCACCCAGAGGGTAAGGGGGCCCAAGGACCCTATAGAGCCAGGAAAATGAGTATGTTTTCCTGGCACTAAAGTGGTCTTTTAAGCCTTACTGTTTTTCTCTCCCTTGGCCTGTCTATTAAGCTTTATGTGCAGTGCAGAATAATGTTTAGTATTTTGCATGCATAACAAAAATAAAGATAAAAAAAAGAAATGCAGGATATTCTTCATCTCTCTTAGATTGCAACCAGCTCAATAAAGTATATCGAAATAGATTTTAAGAATAGAAAAATCCAATCAATACTATTTCTGTTGAATTATGATTTTGCAAGTCAGCATGGAAAATGTCAAATAATGGGGTCTTGTAACGCCACCTCTACAATTTTAGTTGTTTAATGTTCTTGACCTTTTGCACTTCATTTTTTTTAATGGCTGACCTGTAATTTCTATTATGAGTCACAGTCAGGAACACAATTTGATTTTCAAGGGCTTTCCAAATTCCAAATGCTGATGTTAGCTTGATAATTAATTTGGCTTTAAGACAACTTTTATAATCAAAGTCTTCACAGGAAGCTGTGGCTTCAAATGAACATAAACAGATGTGAATTTGTAAGCTTTTCCTCTTTTGTGTCCGGTAATAATTTAAAGTCGGAGTGAAATTTCCTTACAATCTCATACAATGCATCTTTGGATTTCTACATAAACAGGAAAAGGTGTCACTTGTTTAACCTTGATAAACTCACACTGTCTGGAATGTACTGAAACACCACCAATAATTCAGATAAACGCTTTGTGAATCACAAAACCTTGAAATGCCATAAAGATTACCAATAATTGCCTGGTTCACCTTTATTCTATTTAATACATTTTTTGTCAGCTGGAGAAGCAATACGTTGTTAGGCAATAAAGAAAGAAATGTGTTAATTTATGTCACGCTAAATATCTGTATATACTATGGCTGCTCAATGCTTGCAAAGCCATGAAGTAGGTCTTTTTGTAACAGTAATGTAAAGGAATAGTTAGTTTGTAGGTGGATTTATATTGAAGTCACTCAATGATATCATAAGTCATGTACATAAGTTTGTTTTTGAGAAGAGTTAGTAGAGTGATTTTGACAGATACCGGTAATTAAAATAATTATCATTGATGATCTAGTTCATCTAATTGGAACCTCAATATGATTGATTAGATGTGTTATTTTTATTTACATGCAACTTTCTTTTTTTTTTTTGCTCTTTTAAGATATTGATGCTGTAAATAAATTTTAAAAAGGGCAGTCAATTGGGCAATAAAAAAATTAAAAAGTTGATAAAATAATTTATAGGATGGTATAGTATCATTTATATTATATATAGAGTTGAGCGAACCCGAACTGAAAAGTTCGGGTTCATACCGAACATTAGGCTTTTTGGAACCCGGACATATCACTGTATGTTCGGGTTGGAGTTCGGTGTTCGGCGATTTAATGGCACGTTTTCAAAGGCTGCAGGGCAGCCAATCAACAATCGTTTGACTCGTGTGCCCTTAGAAGACATCACAGCCATGCCTACTAATGGCATGGCTGTGATTGGCCAGTGCAGCATGTGACCCAGATGCTATATATAAGCTGAAGTTGCGTAGCGCTGCATGCACATGCGGCCTTATTAGTGTAGGGAGAGGGTGCTGCCGCTGATAAGGACAGCTTAGGAAAGAATTCTGCAAACTAGTACATTAGTGGGGTGGGGTACACTTCATATCTGAGAGTCAAATAGAAGCTTCAAATACCGTGGTTACATCAGAGTTTTAAAAAGTAATTTTTTATTTTGGTGCTAAATAGTACATTAGTGGGGTAGTACATTAGTGGGGTGCACTTCATATCTGAGAGTCAAAAAGAAGCATCTAATAGTGTGCTTACTGTGCAGTGGTAAAGATTCTAATTGTTTTGCTGCTAAATAGTACATTTTGGGGCCTGTTCTTCATATCTTAGCGTCAAATCGAAGCGTCTAATAGTGTGCTTTCTGCGCACTTGTAAACATTCTAATTGTTTTGCTGCTAATCTGCTGCTTACATTGGAGTTTTAAAAAGTCAGTTTTTATTTTTTTTGGTGCTAAATAGTATATTTGGGGTGTTCACTTCATATCTGAGAGTCAAATTGAAGTGTAACTTTGATTCGAATTTACTACATCGGTCACTTGTAATATTGTTTCACACCTACAACACTTGTTACAGAGATCTAAGTGATAGAAAACAGATTGATATTTTCTACACTAGAAACTACCAGATAACAAGCTGCTATATTTAAACCAGTTATCAATAGCTAAGAGATACTTCAACAATATTGTAATTCTGGGGCAATACCCTCACAAGTCAAACTGAGAGGTCAGTTTATAGGGAAAACTGTTGCCTGGAGGAAATTCTTAAACTGAAGGTGATCCCCAGCGGGAGCACCAAGAGAAAAAGGGGTCTCTGGGTATGCACATATTTATACTGATTAAAAACCTTTATTATGGGGTATGGATTGCCCAAAAAAGAAAAAGGAAACTTAAATCAAAAACATCACTTCTAAATTAGACACACAGAGGACACCTTGATCTATTAAGAATAAAGATAAGGCAGTTATAAAGTAATACTAAGAGACAGAGCGTCCTGTAGTATTCTTGATCTCAATAATTGAGAATAATCTCTACAGCCTATATTGGCACCCTCAATGCATCAATCTTGATACTATAAAGTGAACTGGGTGCTCTAAATACTAGGTAAATTCCTCACAGTACTTAGAATGAAACTAGAAATAGCTTATGGATACTGATCTATATATAAAGTGGATACAAAGTATCCTTTCTCAGAAACAATAGATACAAAAGTGCACAATCTATCTTATGCTAAAGTCTCTGAGAGTGACATTAGCCCAGAGAACATGGGTAATAAGGCTGTATCCGTCAGTATATCGAAATGAGCTATTTCAAATAGAAATTACTAAATTCTATACTAAGAAATATAACTGCCTATAATCAAGAATCTAAATAAGCCTGGCACTACATGGGCTTAAATTGATCTCACTCCCCCACCCAGTGACCACATAACCGAGTGCTGTGATTAAAATAAAAAAAAGCATGAAACCTAACGTCCGTTTCGGCGCTACTTAAGCGCCTTTGTCAAGGAATTTCCATATGTCCTTTGCAGACTCTACATGCTGGAAAAACACAGGTGCCAACTGCTGTGGCTTTCTGCAGTGTGCATACTGGCGAGGGCAGGGTTGAGTAGTGGGTGGAAGATGATGTGGAGGATGATGAGGTCCTAGACCCCACATGGAATAAAGGTCATGCGAGTGACATGTGCAGTTTGGAGGAAGAGGCGCTGTGGCACAGAGGCACCAGCACAGCATAAAAGGGAGCAGGGTGCAAAAGCGGAGCAGCCGTCCCCTAGCGCTCGTCGGCATGTATTAGCTCAAGAATTACCACTTATCCAAGTAATACATGTAGAGATCAAAGGATCCATAATAGATTTGAGCGAACCCGAACTGCAAAGTTCTGGTTCGTACCAGATTTAACGATCCATTCATAGTTTAACAGTGAGGTAGTCAGTCCGGTGACCAGGACCCAGACACTGTCAGGATGTGACATTCACTGTAGTGGCTATGCATGCTTTTGGCGTTGTCACCCTGCTGCTGCTCGACTGTCTTCACTGCAGCGTAACTTCGGCCTTCCCGCTCACCGCCTCATGAGACTTTGCAAGCAGCAGGCGATAGTGGAGTTTCAGCTGCAGCACGCACTGGTCAGTGGCTCTGCACCAGACTTCCCTTCAATTGATCAGAGTTAAAGGATTTCAAGGGGACTCATTACAATTACAGAGCCTCTAAAGAGTCCTGTATTGTTATTTGTCGTCACTACCTTCCCGCGTCGGGAGTGGGTCATTTGCGCGCCTGCTGTCTTCCTTGCATGTGGTAGCTGTTTCTCAGGGTCCCTGTATGGAATGGAATCTTGATTCCCCCGTTACCCGTGGTCACCATGGTAGGCACATCTGCATGCAAAGTCGCCGCCACGGGGATGTGCGATTTGCCCAAGGTTCTCTAGAGTCAACAAAGTTCCTGTGAGTTTTCTTTTTTATATGTCCCAATATTTTGGGGGCTACCCCAATTGAGAAAAAAAATAAAAATAAAATTATATATATATATATATATATATATATATATATATATAAACAGTGTTGGCTACCTCATCCTCCTCCTCCACGGTCACCGCCTCCTCAACTTATGGGTCACTTCGTATAAACTAGGTACACATTAGCAGAGGCTTGTGAAGGCCTTTTCTCCATGCATCAGGAGTTGAGCATTTCTCCATGCATCAGGACTGCAAGAAATGCACCACAGGCCGCAAATGTTTCTTTATTTGTATGCCCCAATATTTTGTGGGCTATCACAATTAAAAAAAACAAACAAACAAAAAACCCCATAAAATACAGTGTTGACTACCTCATCCTCCTCCTTCACCACTGCTTCCACCTACACCGCCACGGTCACCGCCTCCTCAACCTATGGGTAACTTAGTATAAACTAGGTACACAATAGCAGAAGCTTGTGAAGGCTTTTTCTCCATGCATCAGTTGAGCTCAGTTTTAACAATGAAAGAGAATACCCTGCACTCCAGCCCTCTCTCAAATGGATAATTCTGGTGATCCTCCTGACAGCCATTCTTTAGATTTTGATTTATGTTCTTCCAAAGCTAAAATCAAAGATTCCATCTAGTGCTATTTTATGGCTCAGCTGTATTTTTAATTTTTATGTTATTTTTAAGTGATTTCCCTATCCACATTTGTTTGCAGGGCACTTGTCCTCAGGGGCGGACTGAGCACTCGGGCAAATCGGTCATGGACCGAGGGCCCGAGGCTCTGGGGGGCCCGCCCCTGCTGCAGTGCAGTAATGGCTGAGCTGGGGAGTAAAACAATCTCCCCAGCCAGCCTGCACTCAGTAAGGGGCCCGAGCAGCCTTCCGCGGGCCCCTGCTGCTAAAAATATAATCCCCCGTGCAGGGCACACTGAGGGACAGCTAAGGGGCCTTCCAAAGACCCCACTAGGCTGCCCTCAGTGTGCCTGTCTCTAAACACAGCCTCACTGAGCTGCCTGTAACTGCTCAGGGCAGCTCCGTGCAGCTTGTTCTGCAGGAAGTGACATCAGCAGTCACAGTGCAGAGTGAGGAGCTGCACTGAGCAGAGTTACAGGCAGCATGTCAGCATTGTGTGCCCTCCTTCAGAAGAGGACCACCAGAGAGGTAAGGTTTGGGAGGAGGGCTTTATTTATTTTTTTAAATTGTTTTATTATATAATTTCCCCCACTACTGCCCCATCAGAGCCCATACCCCCCTTACTCCCAGTGCATCCCCTACCTCCCTGCTCCCAGTGCATCCCCAACCCCCCTGCTCCCAGTGCATCCCCAACCCCCCTGCTCCCACTGCATCCCCAACCCCCTGCTCCCACTGCATCCCCAACCCCCTGCTCCCACTGCAGCCCCCACCCCTGCTCCCACTGCAGCCCCCCCCCTGCTCCCACTGCAGCCCCCACCCCCCTGCTCCTCTGCATCCTATATGCTGCCTGCTCCTCTGCATCCCATACCCCCTGCTCCCTCTGTCCCATACCCCCTGCTCCCTCTGCATCCTATACCCCCTGCTCCCTCTGCCCATACCCCCCTGCTCCCTCTGCATTCCATACCCCCCCAGCCCCCCCCCTGCTCCCACTGCAGCCCACACCCCCTACAGCCCCTACCCCCTACAGCTCCTATCTCCCTGCTCCCACTGCAGCTCCTACCCCCTGCACTGTGCGCAATAGTAGGGTTTCGCTTTTGGTAGTGGCTAGTGGGCTACCCAACTGCTCCCACTGCATCTCCTATTACCCTTTGCACCCACTACAGTCTGTCCCTCCTCTGCACCTACTACAGCCTCTAATCCACCCTATTCCCCCATATCCTCTACAGTCCCTCCCCTGCAGCCCCTTCCACTCGCACCCTTTACAGCCCCTTCCTTTCGGCACCCTCTGCAGTCCCTACCCCTTTGCACGCACAAACATAAAGGGACACTATAGTTACCAGAACAACTACAGCTTAATTTATATTATACAGCTTAATGTTTATTATATAGCTTAATGTAGTTGTTCTGGTGAGGATAGTATACTACTGCAGGGTTTTTGCTGTAAAGACTGCCTTTTCAGAGAAAATGCAGTGTTTACATTGCTTCCTAGGAACACCTAGGCGCTTCCTGTGTCAGTATTGCAAAATGTGCAGCACTGACATTCAGCATCTCCATGATCTGCATGTCGACGCTGAACGCTTGTCATAGAGAAGCACTGATTCAATGCATCTCTATGATGGTGATTGGCACAGCGTTTTGCTGTGCGTGCACAATAGCCTTCTAGTGCTTTCCTATGGTAAGAGCATTGGGTTGGCTGAGATCATCTAAATTGATGAACTCTGCCAAGGAGTTTGGTCGGTGCTGGGAAACAGGTGAGTAAATCGCATTTTTAAGGGGGGGAATACACATTTGTATTCCTGACACTATAGTGTTCCTTTAAAGGGACACTCCAGGCACCCAGACCACTTCTGCCCATTGGAGTGGTCTGGGTGCCAACTCCCACTACCCTTAACCCTGCAAGTGTAGTCATTGCAGTTTTTATAAACTGCAATAATTACCTTGCAGGGTTAACTCTTCCTCTAGTGGCTGTAGACTAGACAGCCACCAGAGGGCACTTCCTGGTCTATAGCGCAGGATTTCTGTGCTATAGTGTCGCTGGACGTCCTCACGCTGTGTGAGGACCTCCAGCGTCGCTAAAATTCCCATAGGAAAGCATTGAAAAGCATTTTCAATGCTTTCCTATGCAGAGGTCTAATGCGCCTGCGCGGCATTGCCGCGCATGCGTATTAGGTCTCCCCCGACGGCTGACGTGATGAAGGGGAGGAGCATGAGCGGAGGAAGAAGCAGCGACGTGGGACATGTCGCTGCCTCTGGTAAGTCACTGAAGGGGTTTTCACCCCTTCAGCAACCGGGGATGGAAGGTGGGAGGGAGAGGGGACCTGCAGTGCCAGGAAAACGGATTGTTTTCCTGGCACTGGAGAGTCCCTTTAAGGTGGCTCGTAACATTTAACACTTGGTTTCACAAATACCCCCTTTTACATACTGCCATGCTACACAAACACACACAAAAAAATACTACCCTATTCACAAAACCAAAAACATGTATTCAAATATACTAATAATCCACATATCCTGACACTACACACAAAGACATACATATATTCACTTACACTAGCGCTCACAGTGAATATACACACAGAAACATGCATTCACTTTACATGTACATACAATCAAATATACGGTACACCTATACCAGCATATATATCGGTCTGCTGGGGGCCCAGGTGCTAATTTTGCCCGGGGGCCCAGGCCACTGTCAGTCCGTCCCTGCTTGTCCTACTCTTACCCCCATTTTACTTCCTTTAGCAGCTCCCTAGCCCTTTCCAGGAGATTTTTTAGAGGCATTTTTGTGGCCAAAAGTTCAGGTCGCCATTGACTTCAATGGAGTTCTGGGGTCAAGTTCGAGCCTGAACACGGACTTTTTTTTTCAAAGTTCGGCCGAACCCGCCGGACCCAAATATCCAGGTGTCCGCTCAACTCTAATTATATAGTATCGTTTATTTTATTTGAACGTTTAGAAAAGTATGAGTGACTATACAAATGTGTGGACACTGTTGGAGAAAAGATGAATGTCTTTAACGTGAGTCCAATTTATATTGGAAGATAAGAAAGAATGGTTTCTGCTTTTGTGATTCTGAATCCAGAGACTCACTCAGCAATACCATTGCACTAGTGCTGCATTTCAAAAAAAATTTTGGGGTGTATAACGTATTGTTGTTTTTTGGAAGATCATAAGGGTATAGAAAATAAAAGGGGAAGAGTGAAGCAAGGTCATATAACGCAATATTGACATTCTTACGTCACTGTGATGTGCTTACATGACATGACATGAAAACGTGGTAACAGAAGACATAAAACCAAAGCCATTAGTCTGGGGACTTGTGAATCTGACCCGCTTGATCAGTATTTGGTTGTGTAGGTGAAAGTAGGCTGGTATAGTGATGTGATACATGTGTGTAAAACAGGGAATGAGTTGGGCTGATGTAAGTTGGGACTAATATAGTTGGATTGATGTAAGTGGACTGACAGTTACGCTACTGATGGTGATTTGGATTGGAACTCAACTGCAGCTTGTAAACTCCCTAATTACAATAGTGAAGAAATGGAAAATCTTTAAAGTATCAATACTGTAGCTTTAAGAAAAGAGAGAATCACTGGTAACTTGATTCAACTGAAGTTTTAATAAGTGTTAAACTTGAATGAATTGCATTTAGGCAATAATCCAATAAGAAGTGCAAGTAATCAACAACACAAAGTTCATTATTAAGTATTTCCTCAGAGATGCATAAAGTAACATTCTTTAAGTTCATGAGAATAATCTTCAATAGAAACAATAAGCAAGTAGCTAACAATATTTGCAGAGCATAGTGAATAAACATGATGGGAGTTGTCCTCCATATAATTAGTAGCTTGAAGCATTGAGTGTCTTTACAAAGCAAGGAACAGTTCATAGTGAATAACAATGATGGGAGTTGTCCTACATATAATTAATAGCTTGAAGCAGTGAAGATTTGAGTAAGCAAGCATTAGTTCATTATTAAATGATATTGTAGACAAATAGCTGAAAGATATACTTAAGGTTAGTGTGAGTAGTCCTCCAACAGTTCAGAAATATGGTGCACTTGTAAAGTAGCAAAGTATCAATGCAATCCTTGCATTGGCTCAAAAGCTGGAACGGCTTGTCTGAGCTTGTGGAGAGGTAAGTCTGGTGGAAGTAGCTCCCAGTATCACCAAGCACCCTCTCTCTGGCACAGTCTCCCTAAATACCGTCAGAGCTGTGTAAGAGGGGGGCGGGGTCCGGCTCCGCCCAGCGGAGTGCCAAACCCAGAAGTGTTACCCCATGACACTGACATAGCATACCCATCGAGCTTGCGTGAGCAGTTAGGTGAGGTTCAGCTGACCCCTATCTTCTCCTACACTAAGTCCCGTTTGGCAGTTTGAACTCACTGCTATACTAAGCTAAATGCACGAACGGCCTCGTTCGTGCATTCGAATGGGACATTTTTCAGCATAAAATTGACAGGCCCCACAGCCCACATCTATGGAACTGTTTTGGGCAGGAAAATGTGCTTGCGGTCGGTCATAAAGAACTTCCGTCTAACTTTTTATCCACTGGAG